TAATATTAGCAGTTACGCAAGGTCTACATGCCAGGTTCACGTAGCTCCAACGGGTCCAGCCGCGGTTCTACGACGAGCCGTGGTTACTCACGACCGAATCCACATTGCGAGATTTGCAGAGGAAGGGGCGAGTACGAGGCTACAGTCGGAGAAACTGTAGAATTCTCCTGTACCTACTGTGGTGGCCGCGCAAACCTTTGCGAACAGCGACATACCGCGGCTTGTGAACAACGTCGAGCCTATTGGGGCCCTTATGGGACTCCTCAACCAACGTGTGATACTTGCCGCATATGCGATGGGACAGGAAGACTGATGCAACGAGTGCAGCGTGAGGTGATGACACCTTGCGATTGTTTTGGTGACAATCATTCAAGGGATTCCTGACAGGATTCCCCAGTGCTTTTATGCCAAACAACCGGCGGGAGCGTGGACTTGGCGCCATGGTCGACAAGGAAGTAGAAAATTCGGTTTTTATAGCCGAATTCACCGCCTGCGAATGCCAACGGTGCTGATCCCAGCCAAAGTCACAGTCCAATGGTGTTGACAGATGAGGTTTCGCATGAACACCACTCTTTCCCACCGGTCGTTCCCTGGCACAAGACTTGTTGTAGTGTGCACCAACATTCGTATTAGTCTCCATGAGAAGTCAATATGTTCTTGTTGAGGAATATTTCAGTGGCGAGTAGATTCCACGCAAGTGCGCTTGAAAGTCACATGGAATTCCTGAATTTGTAATATTGACTCCGCAAGGTGTCGTCGTGTCTCGTCAGTTAAAGACTCAGCCAACCCATCTCACCTATGAGTGCAAGCTTGCCCGAGACCGAACTTGAGACAAGGTTTGACAGGATCTAAGCCTTTCCACAAATGGTTCAGGTTCTGTGGAGTGTGGTATTGTGACCCATATTCCGTAAACGGCGCCTTGCATATCAAGGCAGATATTGGCTATTGCTGCATTTTATCTCCCCGTCAACTACCGAGTATTGCCGTCGCAATTTCACCCTCTCATCTTCATGTCTGGTACGCCGTGAATTTCATCCACGTCTGGAAAGACGACAGCCCTCGGAGTGCACGTCGTGCACTCCGAGCCGCAGGCAAGCTGCCGCCTCCTTATCCGGAGACATACATCAGTCTATAGACGGCACTATGCAACCGCCAACGTCTCCTTTTGCCAGTCCCACCTGCGTAACAAATCGTCTACAACGTGCTGGAGACCATGTCCTCCGTCGTCCGGTTTCCCCGCGGCCGCTCCGGCTGTCGCTTCTCCGCCAAGCTTATTTGGACAATCATTCCCGCCTTGTACCCCTTATCACGGAGATGGTTTCGGCTAGCTTCCGATCTTTCTTCTTCAGTCGGTTCCTGCTTTGGTGGCGCAAAGGACCCTTGCGCCTAGCCTGCTCATACCGCTGCTTGATATAGTCGGAACAATGTTCAAACGCGAGTGTTGCATCCTAGACTTGAAGGTTCGTCGTGAGAAATACAATATACATCACATAGATGACCCGTCGGATTTTAGTCAGTTCTAGACACATGAAAGCGTGTTTTAACGACAACAACCGTAGTAGCTTCAGTGGGAGGTCATAATGTTAAGCTGGTTTCCATACTTTATCAAGGCCAGGGTTAAGGAGAGACATAAAATGGAAGGTCTTGCGTTTGGTAGCTAAATGGCGATGTGCTCAACTGGATATGACACGTATTAGTAGAGCTTTGGGAGCTAGACTCGAGTCTATTTTGTAAGCCTTTCATCGAATGTACCAGATTAAAGGAGGCCAGCTGCCCGGTTGTCACACCAATCTTTTTCTCTTCTATGTGAAACTTAAAAGTCATATAACTTATTGGCACCAGACAGCTTGTAAACAATGCGGTTATTCAGAGATGGATACATGTTTATACCAGATATCGTGGGACCCATAGGCGGCAGGTTGAAAGGAGTTGCTGGATCCTGAAGCGGGTCAGCAGGCCCTTTGACCTCCGACGGTGTATCTCAATTCATCGCTGGATATACTGTTTCAGCTATCCACCCAGCGTTTTTGTGAGAAGACACCGTCTGACGTACGTCTAACACCCCCCCGTGTCTTGAGCGAGTTTCCGACGCAGGTACGATTGAAAGGGTCCCGGCTTTATGAGATATGTCTGGTGGTTATCAACTCTCGGCACGGCGGGATATCCCTTACTAATTGGGTGAAAATGGAACTCAAAGATAACGCTACAGCAACACGTGTAGTATTATGAATTTGAAAACTAGTATTCAAGTAGTTCTTGGCGCCGACATCCTGTATAAAACCCAATTTTCCACCCCTTTCTGCAATTTTTCAACGTTCCTTTGCCTGCCAACACATATCTGGACATCCCATCAAAATTTTTGGTATCAAATTCATACAAACAGCCATGAAGTTCGACCTTTTATATTTAGCTATTCTGGCTATCGTGGCATTTGCGAGACCAGGAGCGAGTGATTGTATACCGCATGTAAGTTCCGCGATTTTTAGAACCGCCTTCATTGATACCACGAGCTAATAGAACCTAGGCCACTCGATGTGGAGGCTTGTGGGATGATGACTGTTGTCCACCATATGAGTGTCTAAACTCCATTTGCAATGTAAGCTATCCCGTACATGGCGCAGGGACCGCCTTCTCGTAATATACTGAAATGATGGGCAATTATTAGCCGAGGTAAAACTTGACATCCGCATTGTGTGATGGCCTAGGCGATTTCTGGCAGTATAGGGGGTTCTTTACTAGAGTTTAAGCCTGGCAAGCCGTGAGAAGGGCAGTGTCGCTCTTATGGTTATAAACATTTTAAATGTATGACAAAACGGTTCCGAATATGTACCAGGTACTGCACATGTGTTTTCTAATTGTGCTGTTTTGATCGAATACATCAGAAACTACCATGACGAGACTTTCGTGACTGTTTTGTTTTTATCGGCTCGTCAAGACTCTTGGCCAGCAACAAGTTTGGTTCTTCATACCATTTGCTTTCATTGGGCTTTATTCCTGTGTTACACGGAAATGGCCCTGTTACACAAGTGCTACGGTCACGAGACCTAGGGCAAACTCCCTCACTGACTTCTTGTATTTAAAGACGTCTTTGGTCAACGAGGCCTTGAGGAAAACTAATGGCCTTTGATACCAAAGACTGTTACTTTTGGATGAATTGAGCTATTGCCCCAAGCCTTCCATGAACCCTCGTCACACGTGCCGCCCTTTGTCCCTCGACTGGCCTGGGGCTGCTTGACGGCCCATTTCTCAGCGTTCAGCGTATCCCCTGCAATTAAAGTAGGGTATGATCACATTAAGTCTGTTTAATACTGGTATAATTTCATGTACAGCCCTCTGGCATTGATAACCAGCTTGCAAATAGAAGACTGCGCGCAATCTGCTCACCGGCAAAACCAGGACGGTCGCTACAAACATTGAACATGATCTCACCACCTTTCAGGTCTCCTATTAGGCCTGCGTACAGAGTACTGCTTCAGTCATCCATGATTTGCAGGGATCAAATGGCACGACGACGTCTCCACAAGCTCGCGAGCCTCTCATGATGCTTGACAACAAGCATGTCTTAGCAGCCAAAAGGAAATCTCACAACGTTACACAAAGCGGGGTAGCCAAGAAGGAGGGGATATCTATCTTTGTGTTCCAAGTTTTCAGAGAATGCTGTTTTCTCGAATGAGCTTGGCACCATCACTCTCGTCACGCACGCCATCATGGCCACGACTCGGCTGCTGAGCAGCCGTCAGAGCCAAGATGATATTTCAGTTCCTTCCGTATGCTATGATCCATGCAGTAAGCTCATACTACTCTACGCGCCCAGTTTGTCCTCAACCATCTCGACCGGCTAACCATTTTTGTTGCTCTGAAGATTCGGCCTATCTCATAGCCCAAGATACCGGGAAGAGCTCCAAGCTCTGCGAGCCCAACTCGCCCTTTCGAACTGCATACGGAAAATGCCTCTCTTGTATTAAGCAAAATACCAACGGGGGCGGAAGTAAAAGAATACCGCTTCTGGCAAAATTTCTAGCGTTCTGCCATATCGAGTACTCCGTTACCACGGGCATATTTGTCCTAACTGACGGGTCGGAATCGACCATCGTTTACATGGTTCCCACGGGAAACTCAACATCAAGCACAGCGACATCCTCGTTCACTCCGTCACCAACTGCAAGCTCTGGTGCAGTGGAAACAGCTGTCGGAGCCTCTTCAGGCATGTTCTAGCTGTACCTGCTCCCCGGCCTAGAACATGGAAGCTAATAAAACACTTGACTTGTTATAGCCAGTAAAGCCTGGATAGCCGGGGCGGTTATAGGTCCTATTGTCGTATTAGCCCTCATCATAGGTTCCATCATCTACCTGCGAAGACGTTCGGCAAACAGCAAGACAAAGAGCCAAGGTCAGACGTACGAAAAAGCCCAGCTTCATGCTGATAGCCTCCCAGGACCTGTGCAAAAGGCTGCCGACCCAGATTCCGGGGTAGTTCATGAAATGTCGGGGACTCCTTGTCGCACTGCTGAGAAGCCCGCGAATGAGCCAGCGGCACACGAGTTGGCGCCTTGACTCTTGGCAGGAAGAAATATTGTTTTACATTAGATTGAAAGTTTATACCCCGTGGCAAGACTGTGCTACACATGTACCTAGATGCTTTTGTCTCTCTCTTTTACGGATGATTGGTACCCATCCGACGCGGCACTTGGTTATTATACACTTTTATAGAGTTCGTTCCAGAATCCATCGTGGCTACTACGGCAGAATAACAACAACGCTACTAAAGCGTCCAGGCATAATAGACGCGATGCCCCTCAGGTAAAAGATCTCAACCATCCCTGACAATTGTCAATGGGACCCGACTCATTCATCGCTTGAGATGCGTCAAGCTCCAGACTTAAACTTTGGCATGTCCTAGCAAATATGATAGATACCCCTGCGCTTGTGTGGCACTCTCCATGGATACACACACGGCGGCAAATTTGGGCCAACGGCCTTGCCACTTGACCGGTGCTCTGTCAGGCCGAATCAGCAGATTGCAGCAGCTTGACAATGGCCTGGTGTCCCCCTATATAGGCCCACGATACTGGCGTTCTCCCGTTCTTATCACTAGCCTGGACGTCCGCACCGTTGTCAAGCAGTAGCCTTACCACTGCCTCGTGTCCCCCTTGGACTGCCCACGATAACGGCGTCCGGCCACTCTGGTCCTTGGCTTGCAGATATGCTCCCTTCTCGAGTAGTAGCTTGGCCACGGCCTCGTGTCCCTCCTTGGCCGCCCACGATAATGGTGTCTGGTTATACTGGGTGTCTTTAGTCTCAAAGTCGGCGCCCTTTTCGAGAAGCAGCTGAGTTACGGCCTCTTGCCCATGCCTCGCGGCCAGGGAGAGCGGCGTCTGGTTATACTCCCCATCCTTCGCCTCAATATTAGCACCTTTCTCGAGCAGCAGCTCAGTGACGGTCTCATGCCCCCCCTCGGCTGCCCATGATAACGGCGTCCGGTTATCCCAGTCCCTGGTCTCAATGTGTGCGCCTTTCTCGAGGAGCAACTTGGTTACGGCTTGGTTACCCACCGTAGCAGCTCGTGATAAAGGTGTCTGGCGAAACTCATCCTTTACCTCAATATCAGCGCCGTTTTCAAGTAAAAGCTTAGTTATAACAGCGCCCCCCTCCTGAGCCGCCTGTGATAGTAGTGTCTGGTGAAGCCGGTCCTTCGCCTTGATATCGGCGGCCTTCTTGAGTAGCAGCTCGGCTACGGCCTCACGCCCCTCCTTAGACGGGAACGGCATCTGGATATCCCAGTCCTTAGCCTCAACATGTGCGCCTTTTTCAAGAAGCAGCTCAATCATAGCCATATTACCTGCCTTAATAGCTTGCGATAAAGGTGTCTGGCAAAACTCATCTTTCACCTCAATCTTGGCGCCCTTCTCAAGTAATAGCTTGGCCGTAGCCTCGTCCCCCTCCTGAGCTGCCCGTGATAGCGGTGTCCGGCCAAACTGGTCCTTCGCATCGACATTAGCGCCCTTCTCGAGTAGCAAGTTAATAATAGCTTCTTGACCCTTCTTGACAGCCCATAATAACGGCGTGTAGCTGTACTCCGTGTCTTCAGAATCAATTTTAGCGCCCTTCTCGAGTAGTAATTTAATAATGGCTTCCTGCGCCTTCTCGACAGCCCATGATAGCGGCGTCCGACGACTGCCGCTATGGCGGGCCTCGATATCGGCGCCATTCTCAAGTAATAATTTAATCATGGCCACCTGCTCCCTCTCAATAGCCCAGGATAGCGGAGTCCAACCGTACTCCATGTCATTAGCCTCGATGTTGGCACCATTCTCAAGCAGCAGCTTAGCCACGGCCTCATGACCACTGGCAGCCGCCCGCATCAACGGCGTCCATCCATCAAAATCCTTTCCGTCGACTGCTTCACCGCATGCAAGCAGCACTCGCAGAACCGCCTCGTTCCCTTGCTGTACGGCCAGAAATATTGCCTGGTTCGTGATGGGATTCAAGTCCACGTCCCCAGACAGCTTCACTAGCGCCCGAGTCACCGCAATATCAAGCGCTTTGCGTCCGACGTCATCTTTCATGTTGATGTCCGCGCCAAGCTCAATAAGCGTCCGGACTGTCTGGTCCCGCAAGTAATCCGCAGCTATAAACAGCGGCGTCCATTTATTTTTATCTTGCATATTGACGTCAGCACCTCGGTCAACTAGCGTCTGAATAATTCTCTTATGCCCGTTTCGCGCTGCCAGAAAAATCGCAGTCTGTCTCATATTGTCCCTTTGGTCGACGTCCGCCCCTTGATCGATTAGTGCTTGTACCGCTCTTTCATGTCCGTTTTCCGCCGCAAAGTGCAAGGCCGTGCGCCCTCTACTATCTCGAACTTTTAAGTCGCCTTGCTTCTGGATTAATAGCGGTATTACATCTGAATGGCCTCTCTCTGCCGCGTGATGAAGACTTGTTCGATGATTGTTATCCCTCTTGTTTAGATCACATACTTGAAGTAGTCGTTTCACAATCTCAACATCACCTGTTATCGACGCTAAATGTAGCGCCGGAAGACTATCATAGTGATAGAAGGGTACGTTAAATATGTCTTTTTTAGGCTTGAAATCTCGCAATCCTAATAAAATATGTAGTAAAGGGACGTGATGATTTACTACTGCCCATCCCAGTAGGCCAGAGTAGTGAGAATCCAGAGATTCTCCTAACGGCTGCCAAGGATGTAACCTCCATGACAAATTTGGCTCGAGGGCAAGCGCGCGAAACTTGTCCCAGTTGGGAGAGTCTTCAGTGATGTGCCGAGTAAGTGGTGCCCAGTGGGCTTTTGCATATTGAAAGAAGGACAGTACCTCCGTGTCAGAAGGAGAAGAAGGATTCGAAGATCTGTTAGGAAGAACTATTGTCGCAGGTTTGGGCCTTGGTAGAAAGCGATGAGTCCAGGATGGCAAGGGGCCTTCGATTAGTGTCTTCATTGTTAGTTTACCCATTGCAATTCGCGAGCATTCGCCCACATTACAATGCTGTAAACCGAGACCGTAGTCAGCGGACGTCAGATGGGTAACGCAAAGCGCACCTAGTTCTGATTGTGCAGTGTATAATTCGAATGAAGCACAGGTGAACTGGCCACTAGGGAGTCGTGTTTCTAAAAATTGTCGCACCGAGTGATGTGTGAGGAGAATTTGACCGTTGTTTGAAGTAATTAAGTTACAACAGCATTTTATAATCTCTTGGCGTGGTGGAATTTGGTTTCTGTCAAGGCACCCTGTGTTGGTATTAATCGCAAGTCCCTCTCTCAGCTGATCGACTTGAAATGGCGTGATTGCGGCGGCCACCCAGCGTAAGATGGTCCAGGCAAAGCGACTTTGCCTCTTATTTATCCGTTGTAGGCAGCGTGCGTAAGTCTCATCCAGGCTCCTGGGGAGATTTTCGAGAGCCGTCTGAATATCGCCATCCGTAGAACACTCGTCCCAGAGAGCGTCTATTTGCATGCTCACCCATAATACCCTTCTTTAATGTTAGTATGTGAATCAACACGAGGGTTGTCATAAGTGCAATTACTGACATGAGATCAGCCTTTTCATTTAGTTTCCTCTTGATGTCCTGGAGGACGTACTCATTTTCTGTGAGTTGTCGTTCCCGCAATTTTGCCTCAACTTTCCACTCAATAAACTCCCGAATGTCGTCTTTGTTGTCCTTATTTGATATGCGCAAGGTCGTAGAGTCTTCTATGAAGTTTGTCACATAGAGGTCTTCCCGTCCGGAGATGAAAACTCTTTGCGCATCGCGTTGTTGCACCATGTTCCGAAAGGTACCAAGTACCAGTCGCCTCTCGCAGGACTCACACTCGTCCAGTCCATCCACAATGTATGTTGAGCTTGGAGTAAGCTGAGTCAAGAAATCGCCCAGTGGTATGAATATCCTTTCTATAATCTCGGCAAAGCTGGGATGGCACCGGTTTGGGCCGTAAAATCGTTTCACAGCACAAACCAACTCTTGAGGGCAAACATGTCCCGTCTTTTCAAGGAAACCAAGAATCTGTTTAATATAGCTTTCGAATAAATGAATAGCTTTGAGTCGGAATTTGCTCGAATGGTTGTAGAAAAAATGGGCCACAAAATCGCCACCCTTTTGAGACGCTTCTATCAGATGGCTAACAACGGTGGTCCTGGGTCACATTAATATTATGACACAATTGGGGCAACCGGACCAAAGAGTACGAACATACGTTACAAAAGTCTTGCCGGAGCCAACTAGGGCGCGGCAGTTAGTGTGTGGCGACTTCACTTGCAGATGTATGGATGCATACTTTTACCGGACAGCCATAGACATGCAGAAGTCTTCTTTCTCCACGCTAAGAATTCCTCATCACCTAGTATCCACATTGCAGTCCCTGGGCATTTGTCATGCAAGTAATTGCGATAGGTGTGGTTGGGCTCGTAATCAGAGATGTGTTCAAAAATATTATAAGTTAAAGTCCCTGAGCGCTATGCGTTAGACGAACCACAACTCTTTAGGTCATTGGTGTCTAGACTTACCTGCCTGGGCCAAGTGCCATTCTGGCCTTTTTGAAAGATTCAAGAATTGCAACGGATTGTCAAGTGCGAAATCTGCTTCTTCGGCCGCGGCGAGTTGAGTTATGGGTAGAATCGAAAGGATCTCCTTCGCTATTATAGCTGCCGTTGCTGCCGCATAAGCCTGCCACTTCTTGCTCTTGTGAGAGTCTGCGTAGTCGCAGATGCCTCGAATTACAAGGCCTGGAAATATGCTCATAAATCCAGCCGCTTCCATTTCAAAGCAAAGAACACCTCCAAGCTGCGAGCTGAGCGTATCTCTAGTGATCCCATCTCGTATAAGTTGGTTACCGGAGGCTATAGTACCGTAATGGATTACAATGTCCTCACTGCTTCGCGGCACTCCATGTATCACCAGATCTTTGTCACAACTGTCGCAGCTGGACCCTCCAACATGTTTGTAAGTTGACTGGAACAGGATATCGGGTCCGGCGCTATCACGTAAACGTCTGAGGGTGGACAAGTTCTTTGAAATGTGGACCTGATGCTCCAGAATATTTGCTCGTAGCTTGCTAACAGCATTTAAAAGGATAGTTGGCGGAGCATTGACGAACCCAGTACGTATAAATCCGCTCGGCGTGCTCTTCCCGAAATCATATTGAACGACACCACCATGTCCCATATGCGGCTGGCTAATGACCACATCTCCAAGTCTTACAGCCGCATCGTCGCCCGGAACACCGCCTCCAACGCCGACCAAGAACGTGTGCTGTATTGACGTAAACTGGCACCTCATCTGGCCCATAACCGCTGCGGCTGAACTCGCACCCGTCTGGCCAGCAGGCAGACACACGATGACAACATTGTGGTTGTGAATTCGACCGAGCGTATATAAATTTGGATCATCGGGCTTTCGTAGAATATCGCAATGCCGCTCATCAAACATTTTCGTCGCCGCGTCAAGCTCGGTCGGGAGAGCGCAAAGCCATCCCACGGTGTAGTTTTCAGGGCGAAGTCTTTTCATTCTAGAGCCTTTGTGAGCCTGGAGCAGAAGGTAGCAGACAGTGCACAATGGCAGGAGCGTTTCTTCGAGTAATAGCTCAGAATTGTTCATTCGTCCGATTCACGCCGAGCCCAGTTGGCTGCTGGTATAGTTTTGATGCTGAGATAGATGCATGTGGCCTTGGTCACTGCTTGGCAGGCGGCAGTCAAATGCCGCGGAGCACAGCCGAGACTTGGGCGTCTGGTGAAGATGAACCAGGCCGGTAGTTGTGGTCACAGATCAAAAGAGCAAACGCCCTGTTAATATAGGAGGTTTGCACGACAATGTGGGTAAAGGACGGGGTTCAAGGTGGAAATTAGGGGAGCAGGGAAGAGCGAAGACGACATCGACGTGCATGGCTCAGAGGAAATCACGTAGGCAGCCTGTTGCTCCTTCCGCACAACGATTGGTGAGGGGGAGAGACGAGGCTCAGCTGAAGCTGACATCTGGCAGCTGATGGTTTTTTGCGGGGAATCTTGTGCGACCTGCACGCCTCACCAGCGTCCCTGGCCAGCTGATGGACAGTTATTTCTCTACATGATCGGTGACACAGATATTTCTCCTGTAATAACTAGAAAAAGCTATTCGGTTTAATACTCACGAACTATTTGGCGGGCGTGCGTGCAGTTGGAGGTAGTTGCTGCAAAGCCTATACCAAAGACCAATACTTTACCGAGCGTATTTTGACTATCTTGGAGCTCTTATCTTTGCCGAATAACAAAGAAAAGATAGTTTGTATTATAAGAAATTAAGAATTATATTATATAAAAGTAACTATTTTTCTCTTATTATATATAGTAATATATAATACTATAATTAAGCGGTTTATTACTTTTAAGATATATAAGTAATTCTAGTAAATAATAAGTTTAAATTTTATTTATTTTATAATTAACTTACTTTTCTGTGAATTTTCATTAAAAGATAAGTCTTAATAACTTTAACCTAATTAGGCCAATAAGAGGGATTATATAACTTATAAGACTAATCTCTTATAAGTCACGTGACGTATTACTACCTTATAATAATAATGTAATTTAATAAAAACTTTCTAGTATTATATATTAAAGCCAAGTGTTGCGGTTTTGGCCATTAGATTGGGCGACATTTGACGCCGCTTTTGGCGGCTCCAACCGGTGGGGCACCACTTCTGCACACCCCCAAGCTACTAGCTACAGTGTGCCAAATCTGGTGGCCTTGCGGCGAAGTCACAGAACTCTTGGCATTTTTGACTCCTGGCGTTCGTTATTGATAATGGTCACGACTGCAGACCTTAAATACGAATTGTTCGCCCACATCCATTCTTCTCATATGCCATACCAAGTCTCTTCTTTCTCTGCTTCCCCCCTATCCTTCCACTATTTAAAGCATCTACATCCAGCTCCTTAGCCAGCACGAGAATGCACAACGATGTTCTATTGGCGCTTGAGGTCGCGGCCAGGAGACGTCACCGATCTACACTAGCACGGGATAAAGCCCAGAAGCATGTATTAAATGCACACGCTTACCATCGCATGCAGAAACAGCTAAATAAGACGACATTTCTTGCGCCAATTGATGCAGATACTACGAAAGCGAACATCTACTACATTAAGAAGAAGTTCGCCAGGTATAGTCCCAGGCATGCTTTTGTGAACTATAAGTCACTAATACACTAATACACCAATAGGTTCTGCGATGAAAAGCAGCATGGCAGTTGGAAGAAAGCCATTAGTTGGAAATACTGTGATAAAGGCTTCATAATGGTGTTTTTATTCTGGATTTGTGAAACATATCTACAACGCAGGCGAAAAGTGTCCAAGAGAAAAACAGTCAACCAGTATTGGCGGGATCTAAAGATGCTTTATCGACGATCCAACAACGGCAAAGAGATCAATGCAAATGATTGTGAAGAAGTAAGAAAAGTAGGTGCTAATAGTTTAGCTTCGTCACTGCAAAATAACGCTTGAGCTAACGGAAGACAGTACATTAATAGGAAATTAACCGAGAAGTTTAAGTTAGATAACCAGCCTGGTTCCAAGCCAGTTCTGGGAGCTAATGACCTCCTTCTTGGCTTGACCCATCACTGGTGTCGTGATAAAAGCGTGTTTCCAACCGAAGATGATCGTCTTGACCTATCTACAATTATGCTTTTCCAATCTTACACGGCGTGCCGACCAGCTGAGCTTGTTGATGGTACCAAATCCAGAGGAAAAGGTGATCCAATGCTGGACGAGTCAGATGATGAGGATCCAGAGATAATGCAACCCATAGAGGACGAGCCTGAGTCATCAGACGACGATTCGGATCTGGGATCGAGCCAATCTATATTTGATGAGAGTGACGATTGGGATAGCGACAGCACAAGCGATGCCGAATACTACGATACACAGCAAGATGAAAATGAGCACAACAATGACCCCAGCAGCAAAAGAATTGAGATTGTGGAAGTAGACTCCATTTTCCCTAGTAAGGGCATTAGTGGTATAGAGGAAGATAGCGAACTAGTTCGAGAACACAAAGTTCTATGTTACGAGGACATAGTGCTTTGGATAGTTCAGGACCCCAATCATGGAGGACGAGATGTCTTGGCTATAGAGGTATTCCTCCTTTATCACAAAGGAGCTGATAGAAAGCCAAAGCCGTATATTGATCCTCTTTACTGTGCACTCTACTGATTTACTAATGTTTTCTGTAGCACTGTATTCTTGTTTCGTGAAAATCCTCTGCCTATTCTGTGTCCTATAAGTCACATATTAGCCCGAGCTATACGTGATGACGCTATAGAAGTAAAAGGGTTTGACCATGCAAGCCCATTCTTCTTAACTCATATAGGCAGAAAGGCGAATAAAGTTCACTGGAAACATTCTGTTCTTAAGATGCCAATTTTTCGAAGATCAGTCCGCACTCCTACTAGCTGGATTAAATCTAAAACGGAACCAATAAAGTATTCAACGTATACTTTCTATCTAGACCGGATAGGCTCTGCCATAGGTTCAGAGGAGAAATGGACGTCATGTTGTTTTCGTCGTGGTCTTGCGAATACTCTCCTTAGAGTCGCTCCTGATTCTATCGTGGATCAAGTTATAAGGCACAATCCCCTCACTAGTTGCATGCAAAATGCATATCAAAACCGCCGAGTAGGGTTCAATACCCAGGATGCATACCTCGAAAGAGACCCGTCCGCGGACGGCTTGACTCGTGCTTTCACAAATATGAGTATAAGGTGTAATCCTGAAGTTCCAAAAGATATTCCCCAAGCTGCCCCCGGATCCCAAAATTATCGCCCAGACGAGGCGGATTAAGCGTATGGCATCTTCCATGAAAGACCGGTATAGGTTTATCAAGTCTGCACCTGACGCTATTAGAAAAAAATATCAACAGTTGCGAAGGGATCTAAAAAACATGGAAAAAGCTTTCCGGGGAGATATGACAAAAGTATATCAGGAAGCAACCACGACTGCAGCAAGGAAAGTACCGTACCATATTTGCCTTACGGGAACCGAATCCGCACAAACGCGTCTTTGCCACGTTCAGTATGTCACCCAACATCCGACCGGTCCGCAGGCGCCCGGAGCCCTCATGTAATCGAACGTGATGCGCCTTCATGGCCAATATTGATGATAATACCATGACCTTCGAGGCCAACCACTTGGCGGTTTCTAGTCTAGGGTAGCCCTGGAGATTGCACTGTTGTCCATCACTTTCGACCTTGCCCAAGAAAGCCTCTTCCTCCCGTTAGCAGCCTTGTAGTCGAGCCGCGGGGTTACTGAAGGTGGCATGTCGCAATTTTCAGCGACTCCAAGTGCAGCTCGCCCTGGTAGAAAAATCACGGATCAGGTTGGGTGACTCCTGAGTTGTCATCCAGACACGAGACATGCCCACCGACTCCGCGACAAATGTCTCTCGGCCAAGTTAGTGCAAATGGCGCAGTAGGTGTGGCGGCATGGATCTGGCCTTACATGTAGGAGCGGGCTGTTGGCGCTGATGATGTTTTCAGAGGACCATCTCCCCTTTAACGCTGGCGGTGACATGCGGTGCCGCGGAGGTCAAGTACCTAGATTCTTTGCGGTACAATTCAACTCGGTGCGACTGGAGTCGGTCGTGATCGTGTCGTGGACGCGTTGCGGACTTGCTTGTGCTCTGGCTTAAGGAGCCAGCTAGTGAGTGGAGGAGTCCATGTTCAGAAACGTCATCTTGAAAGGAGTCTTCAGGTGAGAGTGGCAGCTGAAGCACCCATATCCGTGCAGTTTCTCGTCAGGCATTCCAGTTGCCGAGGGGCAAGGGTTGGACCTGTGACAGCGGCATTCAAAAATGCCATAAGGCTCGATGTCGGGCCACCCGCCGCAGCCGGCAACGCTGGCAGGGTAATGATAGGAGGTGAGCATCTTCCTTTTGTTACACGGAGTTGCAGGGTCTAATGATCGGATCAGAGCTTTGGTGATGCCGAAGCGCCATGGCTTCTCACGCCACCGCGCCATTGAACGGACACAGGATGGCAAGTTACTTGTCAAGTAGATGACCATGCTGAATGTCCAGTATCGGCCAGCGAATATGAATGCAAATTAGAGCAAATGGCCACCACTGATATGCATAACTACCCGTGCCGCGGCCCACTTTATTGGCCCTCACAGGACTCGCACCATCTAAAGATGGTATATATGTACTCACCAACAGCTTGCCACCTTGGTCCGTCTAAGGTAACATTGAACTGACAAGGCTGCGCTCTTCGACTGACGGTGATAAATAATATGCCGTCGTCACGTCTCCTCCCTCTCCCTCTCCCTGGGTAACTAAACCTCAGCTTCTTCATAGACGTAGACGAACCGCACAACCCCATCATTCCACCCGCACATCTGACGCCCTCGTGCGCTTCCCTCGTACCATGGCATCCGACAACGCTCTGGATAACCCCGACTCCTACACAGTCGCCTGGATCGCTGCTCTTCCCATCGAGCGGGCCGCTGCGGAAGCGATGCTCGATGAGGAACATGAAGCTCCAACTGGTTTCACTAGACACCAAACTGACACGAACGTTTATACTTGGGGTCGTGTGGGTCAGCACAACATCGTCATTGTCTCTCTTGCCGCTGGAGACTATGGAACCACTTCGGCTGCGACCACGGCTTCGAGCCTGCTCGCCTCTCTGCCATCCATCCGTGTTGGCCTTTTTGTCGGCATAGGCGGCGGCATCGCTCGACCGGATAAAGACCGCGATATCCGGCTTGGTGACATTGTCGTGAGCCGGCCCGATGGGACATCAGGCGGCGTCTGCCAGTACGACTTGATCAAAGCAAAGTCTGGTGACAAACGTGAGCGCAAGGGCTTCCTCGGGCGGCCTCCGACGGTGCTCCTAAATGCACTTGCCAAAATCCGGGTCGTTCACGAGCTGGAAGACTCCATGGTTCCCAGCTTCCTCCAAGAGGTGCTGCATAAGCGCCCGAAGATGGGCAAGAGATCCAAGCAAAATCCTGGCTATGCTCACCAGGGCCTCGACAATGACCGCCTATTCAAAGCTTCATGCGACCATGTCCCCGGGCCGGACTGCCGGGGCTGTGATACGGCAGGCGAGGTTCAACGTGATCCTCGTGATGCTACTGACCCCAAGATCCACTACGGGATCATCGCATCAGGCAACACGCTTGTCAAAGACGCCGCTGCACGCGATCGGATTGTTGCTGACATCGGCGAGGATTGCATCTGCTTTGAGATGGAAGCGGCCGGCCTGATGAATCACTTTCCCTGCCTTGTGATCCGAGGGATCTGCGACTACGCCGATTCCCACAAGAACGATCGATGGCAACGCTACGCCTCGGCCACCGCCGCTGCGTATGCCAAGGAGCTCCTGGCGTACGTGCCGGCTGCGGAGGTCCAGAAGACCAAGAGGGCACTGGAAGTGCTTCAGTCAGGTTAGTTCTTGTTTCATTCACGAGGGCTAGACTAGCAAATAAATGCGGCCGAATAATATTTGAACTTGGAATACCCCCCTAACCGCGAGTAGTTCAGCAACAGATCGACGGCTTGCAGCAGACGACAGTTGCAACGAAAGATGCAACTAATTCCATGAGGTCTGACCTTCGTACCGATAAAATCAAGCGCTGGCTTTGTCCCCCAGATCCATCTACAAACGCCAACAACGCAAGGAAGCTCCGCCATGAGGGAACAGGCGCGTGGCTCCTTGGAAACCCAGTCTTTCGGGGGTGGTGCTCGGGGTCGCGTCGACATTTATGGCTAAATGGGTTCGCAGGATGTGGAAAGACGGTTCTCAGCACGACTGTGCTGGATCATCTCATGAAGGGAAACGACCGTCTTATCCTTAGCTTCTTCTTTGACTTTAGCGACAACACCAAGAAGACCTTGGATGGCATGCTGCGGTCGCTTGCTTCCCAACTTTACCAAGGCGGGGCTGGTTCTGCAGGTCTTCTTGACGCCTCACTCCAGGCACATCAGGATGGCCGCGACCAACCTGCTACAAAGACCCTCGAGGACATTGTTTGCAAGATGCTTGCAGCCCAGAAGAAAGCCTCTATTATTCTGGACGCCCTGGACGAGTCAACAACAAGGCGTAAACTTCTCCTGTGGATAAAGGACATAGTGTCCAGGCCACAGTTGAGCGATATCCAGCTGATTTGTACCGCTCGGCCTGAAACCGAGTTTATTCGAGAAATTCCTTTGCTTATTGGCGAGGAAAACTGCTTAACCCTCGACAAGGAGTCTGTCAATGCTGACATCCGATCATACGTCGCAGCACAGCTTTCACAACGACCTGATTTTCGGAATAAATCCTTGTCCCCGGATCTCCTGGAGAAAATCCGAATCAAGGTTGGCGACGGAGCCGACGGGATGTGAGATACTACCCCTTCAATCGATATGCTGATGGTTTGCTGACGCTCTGCTTAGGTTCAGGTGGGCGTCCTGTCAATTGGAGAGCCTGGCTCAATGTCAGAGCCCGGCGGATATTGAGAAAGATCTCGCATCTTTGCCGCTGAATTTAAAAGGGACATACCAACGCATGATTGAGAGCATACCGACGGAGCTCAAGAATGACGCGATACGGCTCCTGCAGTTTCTAGTGCACTTGAAGCGACCTCTTAAACTGGCCGAGGCTAGAGAAGTAATGGCAACGCAGATCGCAGAGGAGACTAACCTTGATTCCGATGATTTCGAGACTATAGTAGGGCTTCTTGGCTCCCTTTTGACAACCCGAGATGGCATCATCAATTTTGTGCACTGGTCGGTGAAGGAGTTTTTGCTCAAGGAATATCAGATCTTTCCTTCTGATATGAAAGAGATGCAACAATCGAGTAGAAAGGTCAAATGGAGCGAACCGTCAGTCGAAAATGCTAATAGCATAGATCGAACCGAGGCAGCAACTGAATGGCAGACCTACGACTATCCACCCTCGATGACAGAAGTAACAGCCACAAGAAGCTCTGGGTTATCCCGGGACTTTTGGTCATCGGCATATGCACAGGATACAGCCATCGCTTCGACGACGCATACGTCGGTGGATGCGGTAGGCAAGGGGAAGGAGCCGGTCTTGGCCGATACTGAATCGGTCTATACCTCCGATATTCCTGAATCTCTGGCATATGTGCAGGAGCTAGCGACCAGCTTCTTCAAGGAATCTGAACTCCCAGACACCGAGTCACTGGACAGGGTATTCGCCATTCTTCCTGTCTTGCTCCGAGGATTCGCCTTGAGGCTCGGCGGAGAGAAACAGGTCTCGGATCACTTCGAGATTATGAAATTCATTCACAAGAAACGAAGGTAAGGGAGAATCCCATTGCTCAATCTTTCTGTGTTCTTCCGATATTGACCAAGCTCCAATTGCAGGGACATTGCCACGTGCTTTGAAGAGTACTATTTGAGGGATAAAGACGACGTTGGATCGTCACAACAGCGAACTCTGAATGACATGTCTTTGGGTGAGAGGCTTGATAGGTGGCAGGTGGACCCAGCAATGGACGATCCAAATTCCGCAAAACCACCGTCAATGCCTGACGCGCCGTTCCTGGACGATGAAATCAAGCTTAATGATGACGATGATGGAAATGAAGGCAATACGAATGATGGTTTTCCGTCGACGTATCGGAGTATCGTAAACAGCTCCACTGCGTTTCGCTGGCTCCTCTGTCGCGTACATCGAGAGACCATTCTCACATCGTCCGAGGCCGGTACGATGCAGGCCATTGCCACACAAATCCGCCAGATATTGTATGCTCGACGGGAAAACTGCCTGATCAGCAGCAAGAGAGGGCCTCCAATGTGCTCGATGGTATTCCAGTCCGATTGGGATCCCCTGGCCTTTGTCTGTAAGCAAGAATACGCCGAGGAAGCAGAAGACGCGGTAGAGGGAGCAATTGTAATTGTCCAGGGGGTGAATAGAGACGCAGAAGCCATGCCATGCTCGGAATACCTGAGCCGCACATGGCCACTATTCGGAGAAGACTTCATGAGATTGGTGAAACACGTAGTGCGAAGCATACGAGGCTTGCGGTGTTCGGGTAAGCTGCGATATTGTTTTATGTTCGAGTGCCTGCTAAGACATCCTTAGTGACTCTGTTTGACAAGACGAAACTTACAGCGTGGATCGAGCCCTCGGGACACTTTTTTTTGGAGGCAACAGGGGTGGCAGAAACTATCGTCGAAGTTGGAGAAGTGTATGGATGGATGATTGCAGCCCTTCGGTCAGGTCCGGGTGATGCAGTCACGTCCGTTATCCCCGCCCTTGAATCAGACGCCAACAACTTTGAGCCAACATTCCGTGTCAATTTTCGGCTGCAGTTTTCTCACAGTCCTTTGCGTGTCGCAGGTCAGTGCTGGCAAGACCTGTTCAGAAACCCTGCGGTCGTTCTCGGCTACCCTGTAAGACGCCGTCAGCCGGGACAGGAGCCCGGGCTCGAGTCCTCGCTCTACACACTGGCAGCGCTAGTCGGAACGCGACGCATCGCGGTATTCTGCGGGAAGATCTTCCTTAAAGGATTCTGCACGATGTTGGTTCCAACAAAATATACCGGAGATACGGTGCACTGGCACGTCTTATTCAATGAAGATGGGTGCCGGATTCCCTTCACGGATTTCCGCGTCCGCGATGTCGTTGGAGAGTTCGACATCAGCGAACACTTGATGCTTTCTGGTATCGAAACTGCGCGTCATGTTGTTGGCTGGTGCGAAAAGGTGCGGAACTACGCAGGTAACTCATGTCCCCTATACCTAAACGGGCAATGTGACTATTGGGTTGCTAACAATGGCGGATGAAGGCTCAAAGGAAGCAAATTACGACATTGATAAATCTGGACTAAGATGGCCCGATTCTGGATTCGCTTTCGATCGTATCTCCATATCCGCTGGGAAGATCGTCACTGTTGGCGCCTCGGTGGCGCTTGGCAAGAAGGACAAGCCAGCCCGAGCGGCGAAAAGTTCCGACTACCACAAACAGCTCGAGTGGATCGATCAGCGGTTCGTCGTGCTCTTTGATCCAAAAGACCGCCGTGCCTGGCTCATCGACGGACTGAGTGCCCTGCTACATTTCGTCAGGGCGTCTCTAGTCCATCGCAGAAGACTTGGTCGCGAAGTTCTCTTTGGTGAAGGCGACGTCAAAGAATCCGACACGCCGCATACAGGAAAGGCTGCAGCGAATGAAGTGCTCCGGAATAGGGCCAATATGGACCTCAAGATATACGAGAAGTGGAACAGGCTTGTAGAAGAGACAAGCAAAATGGGAGAAAGGCCCTCAGAAACGACCCAGAAGACGCAGAAGACCTGGGAACAGCTCCCGGATTTGGTCGGAGACATTTACACCACTTTGAGCATGATTGTCGACATTCAAACGGATGTACGCACGGCGGACGGGTTTGGAGCTAAAGTTCGAATATCGCCCAGACGACGTCTCGAAGGGTGGGATTTCCAGCAACTGGCGACTGGAGCTGACCCGTTGTGGCCCAGAGCGACAATGCTTCATCATACCGGATTGGGATGGGTTGATTTGGTAAGAGGTATCAATGCCATCACCTTCTTTGGTGTGGGCTTTGGAGAGATACTTCAACCTATCGCGGTCACCAGAGGAGGCATTATTTGTGGCGAGGGCGATGCCGCCGTACCGGGTTCGGCGGGGGATCCTCGAGGAGAGGCAACTTTATGCGCGAAATGGGCCCGATTACCACGGGGCGAGGACCTCCTCGCGACCACCACCCCGGTCATCCGGGACATAATGGAGAATTTGTACAGAGACACCGACTACAATGGGCGCTTCTGGGAATTGTTTGAGAGCATATACTGGCACAACCCAGACAAGATTTTTGAGAATTGTGCCTGTGCCGCCGAGAAGACTCAATGCGATCGAGTGCAGGTTCTTTTGCCGACACAGTTCCCCAGTCTCTTTGCCCGGAGTTTCCGCAGCCCGCCCAAACCACTTCCCAACCACGGGGCCGTCATCTTCGGACACAGTGTAAAGTTTCCACTGATCTGGAAGTCGGAAGCCGGATCAGTTCCCTCCGAAGGGCAACCGCCAAAGCCTCAGTTGGCGTCCTCGTCGTCCCACCAGAGTGACAGCGGCCTTGGAACGAGTGTTGCATCGTCGGATCAAGGGAACTCGTCTAGCCAAGCTCCAAACCAGCGACCGTCTGGCAACGGATCGACACACGGAGAACCTTCGAGTCTGGCGCCAAGCACCGTGTCAGCCGACACCAGATCACATGCAGGCAAGGGCAGCAGAAACGTGTTGGGGCGCCTCCTTAGACAGATTAGGTCCGGCACCAAACCAAGTGAACACTCTGCGGGATCCGGTAGCCAAAGCGGAAGTCAGTCGCAGTGGTGATTCGGGATATCAACACCGGCTTAGAATACAGAATCTATAAATTTCAAACGTTTTTCTCTCCCTTTTGCTGCATCTGGTCTGATAGACATTTTCTCTCATGACCTGATTACTCGGGTCATCCTTTCCACCAATGATGCTAGTGTTGTCACCCTCGGATGCAGATTTGCGAATGTCAGGGGCTGATATGTTGTGCTCATGTAGCTGAAGTGAGAGATTTGGGTTATTTTCGCAGTGCTCTATGTTTCCAAAATTGTTGCTGACTATATCCTTTGACGTGGACCTAGAAGCTGCTATGGATATTTTTGTTGGAGAATAATGGCTCAGAGCAAAACAAGATTCATTCAAAGGACTGACAGAATGGTTTGGATCAATTGTATTGGAAGCGTAAGGCTGAGCCTTGGCATCACCCAGGAGATGATTTTTGTCAGGCTCAGCTAAAGAATGGTTCCCAGGTGAAGTGTAGTTGCCAACAGGATCTGACAGAATAGGGTCAATGGGGCAGTATATATCGCCATCCATTACATTGTCATCGCTATGGGTTGTAGCAGGCGTAGCTTGGGATGTAGGAGGTGGCGACAACCACTCCGAGGTGGTGCTGACTGGTGAACCCGCACCCCGAAGACAGTTTTTGTCACTACCGGTAAGTCCACTGGTATAGAAGCAATGCAGTTCCCCATGTGGAATAGTTCCTGCTGTTTGTTTACTTTCTGATTGACCTGATTTATTGTCAGTTGTTGCCAAGCCGTGTATAGAAAGACCAAAGCCCTATAGCTTACCCCAACTATCTTTCAGATACTGCTGCGCAGAAGCTATTTTCGGTGAATGATTTGACCCGGTAGAAAATTCCTCATTGGTCTCTGACGCTGTAAACTGGGTGGAAATTTCAGGTCTGGCAGGAGACCTGGGCCGTCTCGGTTTCCAAAATGACTGATAGTCTAAAGAAACCTGCGAAGGCATAACCGAAATGTTTTCACAAAAATACCAATAGCAAGAGATTGATTCGCGTTCCTTGGAGATCGAAGTATGATGGCTGAAGAAGGCAATATACACGTATTGTTATTGCCACATAAGAAGTACTGGAGACGTATGGAGGCCATTCCATTCCTTCCGGCTACGAAGAGCCTTTTATAGCAGTTCTTGAGATTACGCTTCCCCAGCAGGCCAAGCCAAAATGTGCAAATTTTGCCTGTCAGCCATACATTTTCCGAAGCATGTAAGAACTAACCCTGTTACACCAATAATCGTAATTATTGCTGTCTATCATGGCCCTGTACACAACATTCGGCCAAACTCCGAGGACCAACGTGATGCTTGCAGACGAATGACTACTTCTTCAAAAACTGGAGGAAACATGAAGGTGACCTCTTCAACCAGAATGCTTGCTAATGCGTCGGGCTCCGTCGCAAGAGGAGGCCCATTTGGCGTGAAATATAACATCTTACTTAGTTAGGACAGGCCGATCTGCACAACATGGCCTGGAAGCATGCTAGTTTCATGAAAGCTGAGCCATGAGGTTACGCGTCCCTCCATTTAGCTGACCTAGTAGAGCCACTGACCTGGACACGTTGCCGCATCTCATTTCAGCTTGGTGGGTTATCGTACGATTTGGATGTGACACGTAAGGTCGAATCGCAAGATGAGGGCGTTAGGAGCGTCCAGGCTCCTGAATTTGCCGGCTCATGCTGGCCTCGTCTGCCGTTGGGGGCAAAGAAGTGAAGATGCGACCGCGTTTTCAGTCTCCGCCTACTGACGGAAGCGATCATCGCGTGTTCCTTGTGTTAGTCGGGAGTCATGCTGGCTGGTTCGCTATCCGTTTCGAAATCGTGAGAGGCCCAAGTCTTGCAAAAATGGCGGCCGAGACAGGAGAAATAGCCGACTAGAGGTTGCTCGGCGTGTACGCGAAAAAACAAGGGGACCGTGGTGAGGTCAACCGGATCTGTCAAAGGCCGCGTAAGCTGAAATAGAGAGCAAAAGAGAGACGAGGATACGAAAGCGCAGGGAAGGGGTGTAAAGAAAATAAATGAGGAGGGAAGATGAGCAACAAGATGCACGCGGGCGCGGGGTTCTTTATACATGATGTCAAAAGCAGCGACGCGCACGACAGGGGTGTGGTGGGTGCCGCCAAACCCGGCGGGGAAGGCCGTGACACTGAGATAATATTAATTTAAAAACTTATTATATTATTTATATAATATTAGCTTATATACTTGAAACTTAATTAAGTTAAGAAGAAATTAAGCTTTAAGGTTAAAACTACTAATGCTCTCTTCTTTTTATTTTCTCTAGCTGTATCCTTCCTAGATGTGGGTTAAGATATTACCCGTTCCTCCCTTGTTACTAAACGCTGCAACATTGTAATTCGTTTCGTGATAGCGCACGTAAGCTCCTACCTCCTGCTCGGAATACCTATCAACCGGGAGAGTAGTGTTGGGGCTACAGAGCTGTTCTCCACTGCGATGCGTCCATGTCTGTCAGTGCCGACAACGAACCAATAACAGGCATTATTTGACTGGTCTACTTCCCCTACCGGGCTACATACTTAAAAACAAAGACGCAGAACGCGACATTCCGCGGCTTATGGGTCTCACAGTAAGATTGGATTTACTTGCCCCGCTCTGTTACCACCCACGTTTGGATACCCCGGATGGCCGATAAGCTTTATTAGCGTTGGAAAGTGATTGCACATGGTTATTCGGCAATTAATGCCTTCTAGGCCCTCCGCCCTAAGCAATAGGTTTTAGAACAGAATGTCCATACGCTTCGTATCCAGGCTTCCGCTCCTTTTCCTTTTCTTTTTGGCCGGTATGGGCGAAGGCGGGCCGCCTTGCCTGTTAAATATAGGCCGAGGTTGTGTATGGCAACGTCGAAGGTGCAAGACACGCGAGTCATTCGATGACGAAATCATTTGTCTCGACTATGCTGCAACTGGTAGAGAAATTCAGAGCACACGTCTCTCAAACGGACCAACTCGGTAAGAAGTCTGGGCTTTGTTGCGGTAATGCCGAATTAGAGCCCAGAGCTCCTAACAGAAAAAGCGACAGAGGGGCAAAATAAATGCTACTGCAATTGCACCAGTCGCGTTGCTGGGTGTAACGGCCCTAGCAAAGTATATTGGCATCTAACTAGTTGACTCTATCGAATACCTCGAGCGAAGAAGAAAGGGAAAAACAGAGCAATAAAAGGGAGAGCTCGACGCAGCCGATGTCGCTTGTTGATTTGTTTCGCACTTGTCGTGTTAAGAAGGACATGTGTTCTGTTGTATTCATTGAACTTGTTCTCAGGTGCGGCGCCCCATCCTGCAGATGTTTGCAAGTACTCAGGAGGATTTCCAGCACTATTGCTTCATGTGTCTCACGAGTGGAGAAGTGTCGTCGAATAATAATGTCATCTTAGACAACGAAATCTTGGCCTGGTTTGAGGCAGGGACACACGAAACTTGAAACAGTCATGCAAATGCGCAATGGTCAGATCCGGCAGACCGACTAGCCGAGGCCGGTTAAATGACGTTTATTCCCTTCAAAACACAAGGCATGAGTTACTTGGACCCTGCACACCCAGGACGGGCATGAAGGACAATGAAATGGGCCGAGATGCCCTTTCCCATGACTCTTAATTTCTATTTAATTTCCATGGTTTCTTCCGACCCGATTACCTTCACGGACAATTTCAAAATCACTACATGACGGCATAATTCTTTTGTCCAGATTGTCTCTCTTGCTTTTAAACACAGCAGCATCAGCTGGATAATATGAAGCTATATTGTATCTTGTATTGCATAGCCGCACTGGGAACAGCAGTGACAGCCCAGTCCGACAACCAAGGTGTTTGCCCAGGTGAACGGCTAGACACGCTTACAGACGACTTTATTAATGGCCTATTCAATTATAACAAAAATGTGTCAGAAGTCGGTAATAAAACCAGTTTGCTCCAGGGCTGCCAAGACACGCTCCAATGCGCTGCAGGGTTGGAAACGAATCCAAACGGGAAGTATTGGGTAGTGTACGATGAATGCAGCCTCATTCCTCGCTCTAGCATTCCCGGCCGACACGTACTGACAAGATTAAAAGGTTCTTGCATGGAGGTGCCTGGCGGAGTGGTGCGGGAGTTGATTTCCTGTGCGCCGTGGCCAAAATGCGTTCGCGCAAGGGCGCTCCCTTTGACCAGATCCGCGGCTTTGCCACCATGGACTACCGGCTATCGGACTTGGGCGACGACGGCCAGGGCCAGGATAATGGCAATAAGCAGGGTAGAAGGCACGACCTAAGCCGCAGACAGAGCCAACGCCGAGTTCGGCACCCAGACCACATCAACGACGTCCGCTCTGCGATCCAGTCCTTGGCTCAGAGGATGCAAATGGACAAGTACATCTTGATTGGGCATTCGGCTGGTGGTACAATGGCCATGCAATTGCTCATGGGCGACGCAGCATTGCAGCGCCTAAGCGATCAAGGGCGTCAACAGACATCGACATGCCGGGCGGGCCGCAATTACACAGCAAATTCCAACCAAATACCGCTACCAGACGCAGTCATCACCACCGCGGGCATCTTTGACCTGCCTCTTCTTGTGGACGAAATCGGTCCAGAATCCAAGCCGTTTTACACCAACTTTGTTACGCAAGCTTTTGGCAGCAGACGAGCGGATTGGACGCAGGCCTCTCCCGCTAACTTTGCTGGAAATTATAAGCAAATGTGGCCTGGTAACAATGTCTTGATGCTGGCGCGGTCGCAGCAGGACACACTGATTGATGCCTCACAGCTTGATGCCATGGAGAAGAAGCTGATTGCAGACGGTATTACTCCGACTGTGGTGAGGAATCTCACGGGCCAACATGATGTAGTATGGCAATCAGGGGTCCAGCTAGCTAATCTTGTTGAGCAAACACTAGGCGAGTTGAATGCTCGCTCCACCTAGTGAAAGAGTATCAGCTTATATGGAGTTGGTACTAAGAATGAACTAAGCTTGATATATATATATATAGGAATTAATAGAGCAGAACGACACGCCAGAACGTGATACCCCCGAGACTCCTCAAGCTCTCTCTCTGCTCTACAAAGCCGGGCAGTGGTCATATTATAAGCGGACTCCTTTCCGGTCCCAGAAATAACGTCTCAGCAATCCTTATCCTCTAATCAAGCGATTGTTCGGGTAGAGGCCCATATCGGATATCAGGCACGATCCTTGGTTTCATGTTTCTGTCCCTGCAGTCCACTACATAGTTCCGAAGAATCATTCCGACTCAGCCCTATGGTCCCATTCGATCCCGATTGCCGGTTCATAACAGCTGCTTAGTAAACCTCCGAAACCATAATCGCCTTGTCGACTCAACGTCCGGGTTGGTCCATAGTGCCAGTCCATGCTATGTGTTTGCTTTTGACTTGGACACACCGGGCCCCCGGTCAAGGAATCTGAAATGAAACCTCACCCCCCTAACGTAAGCCCATGGCGCGGGCCGGGCAATACACTACTTGTTTCGACATGAAACCGCATCGCGGCGCCGAATCTCCCGACGCGGCCCCACTCTGCCGCCTCGATATTCCCAAAACAGATGTTTCTCAATGAATTGCGCATTCCTATTGGCTTTCTCGGCAAAAGCAAAGCGCCTCCCAAGCTTGGTCAATCCATCCAGTCTGGAAAACATGCCGGCCACCACTCCCATGATGGTGCAGAATCTAGCGTAGATCTGCGCATTTTCAAAGCACTATACATAATGGTTCGCAATTCCATTACAGGACACTCATTGGACTCATCACAATTTGCACGATTCAAACATTCTCAGCTGAGTGATTGTATGTACATTTTCTAAAAAAAGAAAGAAAGAAAAGCATCCTAAAAGCGCTATAAAAACAGAGTACATTCTAATCTTGAATCCCATGCGCCCCTGCTCCTGCAAAAGACCAGGCCACCGTTGCCGTTCCTTCGCAGTCCACACCGCGAGGCCCTTCAACCCTCGAATTTCAGCAGACAGCATGGCTGCGCAGCACCAATCATACAGCAAGCACGTCTAAGCCTTTGGCACAAACGGCCTGTCATCACCGCCAGCAGCCACACTCTGTCCGGGCTGGCAGTAGCTCACAGGAGGCGCCAGCTTATCCGCGGCCTCGAGCTCCTCCTTCTTCGGGCACGTGCCCTCGATTTTGAAATCCTTTGTGATTTCCTTACAGGCAGGGGTCAGGGCGTTGCGAAACTCCTCGGCGTCGAGCAAATAGAGGCTGTCGCGGAGCGGCTCGCCGATCCAGCTGCTCAGCAGCATGCCAATCTGGACGTCCTTGTCCTTGCACCAGAACGAGCGCAGCGGGTCGTACCGGAAGCCGTTCTTGATAATCTTGCTCGGCCCGCCGTCGTTGTAGCCCGAGCAGAGGACCGCGTCGGCGCAGAAGCTCTGCGCCCGCTTGTGGTCCACGTAGTCGTCGCGGTTGGCGACCAGCTCGTCGGTGCACCCGTTGAGCCGGCCGAGCAGGGAGATGGTCAGGTGCGGCTTGCAGTAGGCGCAGAGGTCCTTGTAGGTGCGGACCTTGTTGTCGGCGAAGCACTTGGCCTCGGCGTCGCGCTTGGCCGCGAGCTCGGGGAACTGGGCGCGCTCGAGGCCAATGGCAATCGTCTTGAGCATGCCCAGGAAGCCGGGGATGTTGCCGAGGGTGCCGACCTTGGGGAGGAACGAGAGGGCCACGCCGCCGAGGTTCTTTACCCACTCCTTGCCGTTCTCGGGGGTGACGCTGTAGTCCGAGGTGGCGAGGAAGGAGAGGAGGGTGGCGCCCTGGCCGACCTTGCCGGGGAGGTTGCCGGCCGCTTGCCAGCCGAGCTGCTCGGCCATGGCCTTGATGGTGCCGGGGATGCTCTTCTTGTTGTCTTCCTCTAGCTGCTTTAGGACCTTTTGCATTTCGTCTGCCAGCTCCTTGGACAGACCCTCGGTGGACGGGTCATTCTGGGGCGCGGCAGCAGCCAGACCGAGAAGGGCGGTGACGAGAGTCAAGGAAAGCTTCATTTTGTTGAAAGAGAGTCTTGGAGTGCGTGTTGGTTGTTAAATAGTGTGTTTAAGCAGTCAAGATGTGACTTGAGGGTGTTGGTGTGATGAGATGGGAGATTTTCTGCAGCATCTTCGGGTTCGTCGTGACTATTTTATACATTTTACATCATCTCGCGAAGCTTGGATGTAAATGAAGGCATGAATGTCATTGAATCATGAAGTCTCTCACTACTAACCTAGAACGGAAGTCTTGAAGAAAATTCAAAGGCATTGCCGTGACGCGGCAGTTTCCAACAGCCTTGCGCCTGGGATGTGTAACGTCGGCATGGTGGGGGCTCACAGAGGTGAATGTCTCAACTACCGGTTCAATAGGGCGGACGTCGCTTTATGGCCATGTAGTGCCATGTTGCATGAATAGAGGACCCGGACGGGCAATCTCAGACATGAGCCAAGATGCCATTGAAGGGCCGGATCCACGGCGTTGACGGATGGACGGGTGTGGCTTGATGGCTCGGCACCTGGGATAAGCGTCCGGCATTATAATCAATAAAGGCTGAGCTAGGTTTCGTCACTGCTTGGCTTCCAGAAGCACGCTAACGATTCCGTCGGGCTGCTTCGTCCCAATAATAAGGTTCCAGATGTCTACGGGCATTTGAATCAGACCACCGGCTATCCATGCGTTGTAGGCTATTGCCATTCGTACCATCAACTCATGCCTCAACTGGGTTGCTTTACGTCGCATTTACCGGGAAGGTCTTTTGATCGGATGATGAATGAAGAACATGTCTGCAGCAAAGCACAAAATGCCATTGACATGAAAGTGGTGCACAAAGGAAGTAGTACATCTAAACCAAGTACTCTGTTGCGCTGTCAGAATCCTAAACAGTGTCGAGGGTCAAGTATCCAATTTCAACCCTGACAAAACTCCGAGGCTTGTGACAATGCCAAAGTGTCTGTGCGAGATGGTTCGCGAATATACCTGGGCGGCGCTGTAGGTTCGGCCATGTCCGGTTCCCGTGCACCGCTTACACGACGGCCGAGACTTTTGCTGTAGCCAAAAAGGGTGAATACTCTGCAAGTCGGCAGCTGATGGGGCTGTTTCATCGGGACTATCCAGGAATTAACAGAACCAGTCCCGCGGGTCGGAGGGTCCGACAGGGCCTGCCACGCGTTGGGGCGCTGAGACATCAATTGATGGCTGAATGACTTGGTCCCGCCGCTGCCATGTGAAATAACGTTTAGACGCAACGCGCTTGTGTATGCTTCGTCCAGCATGTGAAACAGACGAGGACGATCAAGGATGAATTGCATGAAGTCTGGGGCTCCCTCCGTGTAACATGCAATGTACAGCCCCAATAGCCCAGGTTTCGAACGAGGCGGGTTCCATGGCTCGGGCGCAAGTGGCTTTAATTTTGGCAGCCGCCGATTGGCCCAAATTGTATCGTCACGACATCAGGCAGTAGAGGTGGAGTTTCCTCGACGGGGCAAGTTGTACAGAATAAGTTTCTCCGGAAATAAGGAGGAACTGCGGAGTCGTCGGGTAAGGCGAAGGCGGTCTTGCATGGCACATGCTTCATTTCAGTGCATGATATTATATTAGCCGTCGTCTATTTTAAAATCAGTTTGTCGGCCGAAAGCCTGCACCAAGGGCGGCGAGCCGCTGCGGCCACCAAGAACCGTCATGGGCACGATGGCGCAATCCTGACAGTAATCGATTGGCCTTGCAAGCGCGTGGGTCCGGGGCTCAGTTTGCTAAATCCCTGAGGGCCCCTTGCCAGCATCATAATGGTCGTCGCTCCATGATGCCGGAATGAAACGTTCCACCTCCGCGCCAGTCGCGAGCCGTGGTGTCGCCATCCCCAGCTTAGCTAAACGTCGCGTGATAAGACGCCAAAAGAACCTCTACGGTAGTATCCCGTGCTAAGATAACGAGGAAACTAACAAGCGGAGAGCATAAGAGCTTGCTTGAATCAGCGCACGGAAAGATTAATCACTTGTAAGCAGCCCTGCCAGCTCCCTGGATCCTATAACACCGAAGCCTGAAGGGTTTTGCCAGCCTGCACAATTGTGAAAGAGAATATGACTCGTTTTTTCTTGATTTCCTCCTTCACTACCAGGACCAAACGAAGTCAAGTACGAGCCCCCCCAGATGTAGTGGCGTAAATATGGAAACAGAAATTAGCCACTTAGACATTGATTGCGGTGCTCAATGCAAAGCGGATTGTGGCCAACGAGTCCTGCAATGTTATCTATTAACCCAGGGGCGCTGTGGCTGATACCAACATTGCAAGGCACTCAGTGCAACTCGATTTTTCGTTTTTTACTTTTGGTTATTATTGCTAATAAAACAGTATTCAGATACAAAGTATGGTAAGCAAGATACTCAAGGCATTTCAGTCCCCTACCTCGGAGAATATTTAGGGTAAGAGGGCAAGTGTAGATAATGGGCCATGTATACTCCCGACATCCCTAATTTCGGACGCTTTCTCTAGGCTGAGGCACTGCAAACTTCTAAATTAGTGTGTACACGCCATTTTGGGTCTTGTGTCTATACTTTCACCTCCCTCCAACTCGACGACTACTGGTATTAGTCCTGGCTTGGAGCTCGTATAGATTTCATCGCAGAGAAATAATAACAACTTCAAAAGCAAGAAAACAGACTCGTCGCTACAATGAGATGCACATTTCCATGATACTCGCTTTATCCCCTGCGTCCTCGCCAGCCCATGTGCACCTATCCGCACCGCCTCCAGGTCTACGAAAGTGCAAGAAATGAGCCCGCCAAGCTTTCATTTAGAGCGACCGAAACCTGGTCCCACTGAGCCTTCTATGGCGAAACGGCACAGCCATCACCTCCTATAAACGGCGTAGAGGCGAGCCTTGGGGATCCGCCGCATGGTCCCGACTTTATGGGATCCTAGTCCCCAGACCCCCGATCTCGACGCTGTTGGTTTTGCATCGGTACTGCAAATGCTGGGAATGAGTTTGGGGGGGGACGGGCCCAAGCGTACCCACGTGGATGGAGGCTGGAACATGGATGTGAAGTTATTCCAAAGCACTGCGACGGAGCGGAGAGCATTGAAAACCCCGAAAATCCGGGAATCTGCCTATTTTCGGTTAAGCGCCAAGGGGCCGGCCCCACACGCCTATACGTTTCTACGTATACCTGCCTATAAAGGTGCGGCCCTCTTTTCCGATAAATTAAGTTATATTAAATTGTACTCTAATCTCAACTTTGTTATTTTCCAAAGTTGAAAAGTCTCATGCTAATTCGGCTAGTAATTAAAAATAGAAGAAAAGAGGTAAACCTGGTATACCCTATCTTATTCCCGATAATCCCTGCCTTAGCATAGCATTATAGGAAAACGCATAATGAGCAACTTGGGGTGTGGGCCACGGATGACTCGTAGCAATGCCAGTTCTTGGTCGCTGGACAAGAAATATTCGATTCAAGGCAGGATACCAGGGGCGACTGCTCCAAAGTCCTGAAAGAGAGCAGTTGGGAATCAAAGAGGATTGTGCAGTCGGCCGTTTCTTGCGTTGGAAGTTACTTGAACGGGTTTCTTGCGCCCATTGACTAGTACCGTTGAGAATCTCCGTGGATGTGCATGACGGCAAGGCGCTGGGCGATTACGCCATGAATTCCACTGAGCTCAAACTTGGGCCGATGACTAGGATAATCGGCGCTATGGAGCAGTTCCTTATCTCAACACCAACGAGCTTTCATGGCAAGGCTGCGTTCCATGTCAAGGTATGAGCCTGGGAATTGGCATTAAGTGTTAGATAGGTTGAAACACACTCGCTGCCAATCTACACGCATCAGGTCATGCACTACTGACATGAGCCTGATGCGCAGAACAAACACGTGACGGGGGCCGTCTGCGGCCAGCCTACCCATATACACCCCAATGAAATGGATCGTTCTTGCTCTGATTCGAGTTAATTTTCTCATCTTAACCCCCGGCTCCTAAACTTCGTTCTTTTGCGGGGATTAGAAGATGTTCTTCGTATTGATTGTTGTCATGTTCAACCGCGCATTAAAATCACCCCCTCCCCCTCCCTCTCCCTCTCGGAGACCTTATTCGGCCCCACCCAACACGTGAGTGTCCGGGCACCTTGCGTACTTCGTACACCCCCACGCTTTACAACTATCCGCGCCAAGTGGGTCCCTGTCTAGATGCGGAAATAGTACATCGAAGAGTCGTATAAATCCGTAGCGTGGCCTGTGAATCGTATGTTATGAAACCGCTCAACAGATGAGGTGAGTAACTAGGGAGAAATACCAAATCAAAAAAGACGGCCATGATAGAAAAGAGACCTCGAATAATAAAAACTGCGAGAGTATTTATGATGCACTCATTAGCGCTTCAGTGCAACAGGTGTCGCTGCGAACGCTCGGTATAGTCGCTCACGGCCGCCAGGCGGAAACTAATTCCTGCGTACAAGATACTTCTACTAAATAGACAGCTAATATCTCTCGATGCACTGATTGTCAGTCACAGAGGATTTTGTAGAATTATAGCGGTTCAAAACAATACAGTTGTTACACGGTTACACGAGGGCTGCTATCACGGGACCTAGGGCAGAAAACCCTCACCGAATTTTTATATTTAAAGTGCTCTTTGGTCAACTAGGCCTTGAGGAAAAACAAGGACGTTTAATATCAAAGACTTTTATTGGATGCATTGAGCTACTAACTCCAAGCCTACCATTGTACCCTTGTCACACCGTAAAACAGCATGGTTTGTCAGGAGATTCTACAATTTATACAGAGACGTGCATCAATCCCACCAGCGGAACCAAAACAACTCCGGAGTGGAATATAAACGGCAAGCCGGCCCACGTGCCTCCAGTCTCGACTCCTTTTGCAAACAACAGAGCCATGAGAGGGCTCCCGGCTATCCGGCCAACTATATCAACCACACCGATAAGACTATTCAGCCGCGCAACATTGTGGTGCTCCACTAGACTCGTCGCCAAGCTTCTGACCAGGGGGAGCATTCCCCATCCAAGGGAATTGATAAGCAGAGCCGAGACCAAGAGCGGTTGATTGGGCGCCACGCCGAGCCCCAGCAAGCTCAGAGACCTGATTGCTGCGCTGGCGCGTGCGAGAAGCAAGTCCGATTGTCTAGGGCCCCATAATTTCTGGTAATACCTGTTTAAAACGGGTAGGATGAAGAGGTTGAGGAATAAGATGCAGCCGCAGCGAATAGATATCATCATTGTAGCGTACGCGAGGGTTTGCTTATAATGCGTCGAGATGTATAGACGCAGAATTTCCTGGCTGAAAAGCGGATGAACTGTAAAGGGGGAAATTATCAAAAAAACCTTCTTATTAGATGCCAGGAAGGATATAGAGCTCAGAATATGGCTGAGTGCATTCTCGCAACACCTCCACCACTCTGAAGGCTGCGCAGTTGCTTCCTCGGTGGGTGCAGCATCAGGTTCACTAGCGTTGTAATTCAGTGTTTCCGGGATGAATAGCAGTACACCAATACCAGTCGCTCTGATGAAAACGGCGAGAATCATGGGTATCCACGGGTTCCAGACCATGAGTGCGGCGGCACCAAGGGAGCCGAGGAATTCCGCCGTGATGCTCACAGCCATGAGCTGCAAGAAAATCGTCACCCTTGACCCTGGGCGCCTCAGTACTTTTCTCGTGGCATGTCATCATGCAAGATGTCAACACACCTGCTTCTCTCTGCAACCACATCAGAGACGATGGTATGCGTGAGAGCGGTGCTGACGGCCACGCCGCCGCCGAAAATAGCGTGCAGTGCCGATAGCCAGATCCATTGGAGTGGTATGGCTCCGCCGATATAGCTGACGAGTTGCACATAGCTGTGTTTGACCAGGAGTGCCACACTCACAAGCACAATGACGGGCTTTCGACCGTATATGTTACACGGAAATGGCTGGCTACACAAGGGCTACGGTCACGAGACCTAGGGCAAAGTCCCTCACCGACTTCTTGTATAAATAGACGTCTTCGGTCCCTCAAGGCCTTGAGGAAAACCAAGGACCTTTGATACCAAAGACTGTTATTAGTTGAATTGAGCTATTGCTCCAAGCCCTCTTTCTGAGCCCTTGTCACACTCTGTGTGTGACCAAAGGAACATGGTCCGGCGTGACCAAGGCCCGAATCAAAAGCTAGAGACTTATTGGGGAATTCATAGAACTATGAGTTGACAGACTTAGACCTCTGTTGACAGTAGATTTGGTTGCGAGGCCATGCGGATAATCACCCCACAGATGGGCAGCGAGCTTCCCAACTCATCGTTGTAGAGCCGTCTTACCAGAATCTGCTTATATGAAGCCACTGATTTCATATCTCGGGCTTCTCAAAAGTCAGCCCACATTGGTCGCCGGCGTCTCCAAGTGCTCAAGTCTGCGAGTGGCCTGATGCTCTTGCAAATCGCTGGTACACAACACGGCCGGTTGCTTTTATCAGAGCCAACCAAGACAGCCTCAGCGTTGTAACGGGGGAGCGTCAAAACAACGTTGCCAACATACCCACCGTAGACGAACTTTCATCTCCCTCTATGGCTCACGATATGTGGCGGACTTGCGTGCTACAACGCGGAGTACGGGCCAGAGAGATTAACTCTTTACATGCCTTGAAGGCAAATCGTACGAAAGTCCCTCACACCATCTACATCTCATTAACGGATGGGAATGCAATGGCTTGATCGAAATACGTCACGCGGCTAGCCCGGATGCTATATCCCAAGCCAATGAAATCCCGGTAAATCTACTAGATCTATGATACACCAATCAGCGTATAATTAGACCTGTTGATGTATTATAAATCTAATTATCAGATTTATGTACTATTTCTCGGTCTTTTGTCTCGGCACCCTTTTACCAGTGGGAGGCTTTTCTTCCGTGCAAACTCTCGCATGTTTGGCCATGACATCTCGCCAATATAACAGAACTAACAAATATTCCATAGTTTGTCAGAGAATATTGGAACACGCCACAGCGTGTGGTTGCAGTCTATTCATAGCCCCAGAATTTAAGCCTCCAATTTCCATGCATGTAAGCAATTCCCCGTGACATTTCAGCATGTTGTATTCGGGCTTCTCAATTTCCCAGCAAAGTTTCCACCAGAGATCGTCATGGCAGAAATCCCATCATATAGAATTCACTCTCAAGTCAGAGTTAAAGAGGGCCGAGACTCATGGACCAACTTTAACACCCAGGCAGGTTCGTCTCCGAGTCCAAAATGAGTTTTGTTTGATTGCAACGCTGCGGATAACGCCACTCATCTCGCCATCTGGCCCTCCGTAGGCAGAGGAACTCATTCGTCGAATAGCCCGCGCGATGGTGTAGCCAGGAAAACTTTGTCGACGAGATCAACGAGTCCATATAATTGTGTTTGGTGGCGCGTTACCCACCCCGGCGGATATAAACCGTGAATAGTGACGAAAAGCAACCCGGCTTTGTACATACATCCCATATAAGCTGGACAACCCACCTGTTTCGTCCCTCGGGTTACTTTAAGCCTTGCACGCTTACTTGTACTATTTCGGCCAACTTGACAGATAACACTCACAAATTTCCAATCATGCCTGTTAAAGATACTCGCGTCTTTGGTGGGAATGGCGGCGATCCCTACGAACTCTACCCACAGAATTCCGACGCAAATGTGAAGCTCCTGGAGGTCTGGAGTGGCTGGGGCACCAAAGATTGCAAGAACCAGTGGGTTCTCAAGGGCATTGGACTCACATGGACTGATGGACAGCACAAAGAGCTCTACAACAGGATTGAAGAAGACGACATGTATCAAACATTCCACTTTCCAAAGGACCCAAGGGAAGGTTCCGCAAGCTGGGACGTACGGTCGGGGGCGCGCGTTGACGAGCTCAAGTTCAAGACGAAAAAAGGCGTCCCTTGGGTTACGGGAGGCAGTGGCGGCAAAGAGGAGCATCTTGCCGATGGCGCCTTGGTCGGGTTCCATGGCAAGGCGAGCGATGATATCGACTCTCTCAGTATGAGATACAGAATCTGAGGAGAATTTGGCAAGTCCTATCGTGGCTAGGCACAGGCGACGGATTACTGGAATAACAGATTGACACATTACCACGTAAGGAGATTGATATCGCTTGGTTGGGAATCACAAAAGTTGTACTAGTAGTTAAAATTATATATGCATTAACTTTTGACTTTTGAACATGAAACAGCATCACGCGTAGACTATATGGAACAGAAGTCAGCCAGTCTTTGAACCCGATCATGATGTACAAAACAAGAGCCCCAATAACTTGAAAAAGTACCACCAGATACAACAGCTTGCGAAGAACCATGGCGTCATGTTCTTTGGCGCAGGTTATGAGATCGGTCACCTCTGCGTCGGATTCATACCCAGGACTTTTAGTTCGCTCACGGATGCCTAGGTCGAAGAGTTTTTTGTTTGGCCAGGAACCTTGTGCGTTGGGTCCGATAGCCACAGTAATATGTACGGAGCAGAAGCTCGGGGTGTGCCTTGGTATGGACTGACGCGGCCGGGATATTCGCTATCGGAAAGAATTGGTTCCAGTGCCTCCCAGTCGTCCAGGTGAATCTTCTAGGCACACTGCCCCCAGGCGTTCGCGGCAAGGATGTTATCATTGCGCTTTGTGGGCTCTTCCCTCTGGATGTGCTGAACCATAGCGTCGAGTTCGTGGGATCAAACGAAACCATGGCTAGTATGACAGACTGACAGTTAGTAACATCGACTGAATGGTCTGCAACGTCCTCAATGGTATGGCACATGCGTAAGCTACAGCCTGTATCTTCTCAGTGAGCCCGCCTAATTGGTCTTGGTATAGTTTCCGAGAGATGAAACACTGAAGCGTTGGCTCCGATATAAAGCTACAGAGGCAGCAATAGTGGAGGATCGGACAACTCGACAGCGAATTACGCACGAAATGGTTGATGAACTCTTTGCCAACCGTCTTCGAGCTGATCGTGGAGCGTATTATATAAAGAAACTCTATCTTAACCTCTCTACTTTATTGCCCTATATCCCCGGTCCTAACTCGGTTAAAATCTTAACACCGCTGCATGATCTCGCTCCAAAGAATATCAAGGTAGAAAAGGGGTACATTATAAGCTACACTAACTCACGAAGCTCAGATCTCAAGACCGCAGCCAAGGTGTTTCAGGATGTCGCTAAGGCCAATAGTGGTAGGATCCCTCAGATCACCGATGGTGTTAAGCTATATATTGCAGCAGCCTCAGCCAGGGAGCAGGCTATTGCCGAGGATGAGGGTAGCTGGCAAATCATGGCAGCCCCGAGGTTGTGGCTGCAAGCGTCCTGAGAGGCGTCCTTTCAGGCCCTGGCGTTTATAAGACGCCAGAGAATCATTCTGGCGTAGAATACATTTACGGCACCTGAGAACCTACAGGAGATTATCGCAAAGGGGAGGTTAGTGGGATGGATCAAGCATGAGCTCGCGAAGGCTGCCTGATTGTGGAAAATTGAGGTTGATGTAAACGAAATTGGTATCCCTCGGTCTGATTGTACAAACATGAATGGATATTGCATGCCCGCAGAACCCAGACCTGATGATAAATCTTGAAGAATTGCTCGTCTCCATCCCCCTTTTTGAACAGCCCAATACCACTGCATATCTCGGCATGACAGGAAAGTTGAGGAGCGACATTCGTGGTCGAAGCACTGCAAAAAAGCACATGGGAAGGGACTCGGTATGACTGACGCTATATTGTTAACATAGTACACGATTTAATACGTAATGCTCCTGTAGCCTTCGTAAGGACTATCAAAATAATATGTAGTATCGCGCCCAGGATTCTCTTTAGTCGAGAAACCGTTACCGAGATAGGCAAAGCGATTTTTACCAAAGGTCTGCCAGTCAAAGTCCTCGAAGCGCGGCTTCTCAAGCATATGGAACCAGTGTATTCTGCTACCCGGGTGCAAGGCAACGACTGGCCCATCAACTTTTCCATTCTTGAACCACGATCGACAGTGCGTACTCCAGGCAGTGCGCTTCATGAAGACGTCGATATGCTCAGCGAAATCCGCTACAGCCTCCTGTTTAGGTGCAACGGATTTGATGCCTTCTGTCTGGCATTTATAAAGCATCTGAATGATGTACTTGGCAGCGTGCTCTACAATGGGTAGTACGGATCCGTGTCCTATCGGGGCGTTTGGTCCAAGGAACACTATGCGTAAAACCGAGGTAAGCAAGGACATGATGGCAAACAAAGGGATCGGGGAAACACGTACTAAAGTGGTTCGGGAAGTTTGGAACAGCGAGAGACAAATAAGCCTCTGGTTTGTCTTTCCACTGGTCCCCAAGTAAAATACCGTCTTGTCCAATCACTGGATATCTGGGGCAAAATGATATGTCGAACCCCGTGGCACATATCAACATGTCAACTTTCAAGATGTCTCCGGTGGAGGTCTTGATGCCCTCTGGGACAATTTCCGAGATGGTGTCTGTCACCACCCGAACATTTTCTTTAGTGAGCGCCTCCAGGTATCCATTCCCTGGCGTGGGACGTCGGCAGCCGACGGCAAAGGTTGGTAGCATATGCTTTAGTAGCGGGGAGTCTTTTCCCAGTTTCTCCTTCATCCCATTGACGGTGAATCTAACTGCTTCCTCCTGTTCTGGACTATCCTTGATAATCTGAGGTGGCTGTTAGTTTCAAAAACGAGCCAGTTGAAGGGGAGCAGCGAACACGTACAAATTTAAATCGAGAGTTTAGCTCCGATTCGATGTCTTTACGGTAGTCCATATAGGCTTTCGGGTCCGCTCTAAAGGTCTGCTTTTGTTCCTCCGAGACTATACCTAGAATTAGCGACTGAATGCTCATGGTTTGCTAGGGCACTATATCGCTATACAGGCAAAGTTTGCTCCACCTGGGCCTGCTTTGCTCTGGGCAAAGCCGGCGGTGATCCAGGTTGGTGTTCGGATAAAGGTGATCAGCTTCTTTACATCTAATGATCGGTCAGCGATCGACCCCATGCTGTAGCGCCAGAAATAATTCGCAATACCGGGTTGTATCGTGGGAATAATCTGAATCCCAGACGATCCACAGCCAAGTACGGCCACAGACTTTCCTCGCCAGTCTGCCGATGGGTCCCATGCCGCGCTGTGAAGAAGTTGGCCTCTAAAGGAGTCGAGTCCAGGGATGTCTGGCCACTTCCAATTGCTACCATTAGTCAGATGAGATCACCTATTCGCAGATGATCGACTTACTTAAGAATTCCGGAGCCACTGATGAGGAAATGACACCAGTCGTCAATGACAGACCCGTCGCTTACATTCTCAATCTTCACGTTCCAAATCGCTTGCTCTCCATCCCACGCGGCGTGGATGACCTTGTGGCCGAGCTTAATGAATCGGTATAGCTCGTACTTTGTTGCTAGCTTTTTGAAATACTCCAAGATCTCGGGTGCAGAAGAGTAACTAGCAAAGTGTGAGTTCAAGGCTCGCCATAATAGCACTAAGCCGTTGAGAATGCCTACAAATTAGTCCATTCTGGATTAGGCTCCCACGAAAATTGATAATTGTGAGACGGGATATCACAAGCACATCCAGGATACTTGTTCTCGTACCAGGTACCTCCCACTTCAGGGTTCTTTTCGTAAACGACGTGTGTGACTTGCTGCATGTGCTTGTCGATCTGGTAGGCGAGATTCAAACCTGAAGCACCTGCACCCACAGTGATAATTCGCAAATCACGCGCCTCTCCCAGTGCCTTTTCGACAATCTGGTAACGGTCCGGGGGGCCTTTGGCCATGCCACCGGTAGCACCGCGCTCCTCCGCCACAGGAGTTTGATCAAGAATGCTGCTCATCGTGCGCAAAAGTGTTCATGAAAAGAGATTAATGGGCCAAAATTTCGTAGGAAGGTGGTCGTCGTGTCTAGTTCCAATTCGATGTATCGTGCTCGCAACTATGCGTGGTGTATAAGGCGATTGAGCTCTTATACCAAGCTTAAGCTCCGAAACCACGAGTTCGGTTTCGACTCAAACTATGTTGGAGGCCCGCGCCACCAGCCAGAAGAAGCCAACGTTGCTCGCGTCGTCTCGAGCCCATTTGATGTGACCGAGCCGACTTGCCTTTGCCGTGGTTACACGCCCCCCAGTGTAAAAGTGGAGTCATCTCCGCATCACCTACCCTCCTGGATTGGCTGAAAGCCCCTTGTTACCCTCACACCCCACATGTCAACATCTAATTTCTCCACACCTGCCCCACAATATCACTCCATCTGGAACAACCCGATGATAACTCGCCCTTACACTGCAATTGTCCTCCGGACGGCGGATACTTTCAATACCCTGGCTGTCGGAGAGTGGATATTGTATCTCTTTACTTATCTTAACCAAGCTGACGGGCAGAGACTTTGCTTCCGAGGGGCGTTTGATGCAGGCTGAGGTCTCAATCAGTATCAAACATCGTCGAACCCGGTCCCTTCGGTTCGCCAGAACACAAAGCTCTCGCCTTCAGTGGACGGTGCTTAATTGGGCAACGTCTTTCAGAGCTATCCGGGTTTCCTCGTGCTCCTCAGTGTAAATAGAATAAATCTGTGTGAACTGCCAGAATAGAGTTTAAGCACCGCGTGACCTCCAGCTATCATCGACTTTGACAAGGGCTCGGAATGAGGGCTTGAAGCAATAGCTCAATTCAACTAATAACAGTCTTTGGTATCAAAGGTCCTTGGTTTTCCTTAAAGCCTTGAGGGACCAAAGGTGTCTATAAATACAAGAAGTCGGTGAGGGACTTTGCCCTAGGTCTTGTGACCGTAGCCCTTGTGTAACCTTTGCTATTGGGCCATTTCCGTGTAACATCCACCTACAGGCCATGAAGATTGAGTTCTCTAATAAACAATTTTGTGTCCTACAGGTTATCAACGCTGCTTGGACCCGTAAGCCCCGTAGGTCGGCATGAAATCGAGATATTTCTGGCCGCATTTCCTGTTCTGGCTTTAAATCAGGCAAACATGCGTTGCGGAAGTGCGTAAGAGACTCTTCATCCAATACTGATGTCGGAAACTTGTTAAGGTGCGTAGTACCGGGACGCCAGTGCAGTTAAAATATTCCGTAATGGATAATTAATCCTTTTAGTTGATGCCTGGAACACTTATCAACCGAGGGACTCAAGAGTGCGAGAACCGCTGCTACAGCCATATTTGCACCTGCGCTCTCCCCTTCAATAAAAGCAAGTTCGACATCATGTAATTACCTTGGCACCATTGCCGATTGCCCAATGTGCTACATCTAGGCAATCATTTCGAGCGGCTGGAAAATGGTACTCTGGTTAAAGTCGACATCGCAAGAAACACAGATAAGTTAAGTAGAATGTGCTACGCTCTATAGATATATATCAGAGGGCTCTTCATGGTTAATAGCCAACCACCATCATGTGTATGCATAAATATGCCTCTGGACTTCGTAAAGGTACCGCTTGGTTTCAATATTCGGCAAGAAATGTTGCGACTTTCGTCTCGCGACGGAATGAGAATAGCTTTTACAAATAGCAAGGTTGCGGAACCGGGTTTCAACCCTTTCTTGCGCATTGGTAGATCTGACCCGGGCGGGCCTATCGCCACCTAAAGAATCTTCAATCTCTTTATATCTTTGTTTGATCTTGCTCTGTGCTGCTTCCACGCCTATGCCCATGTTACCCGGTGAAGCTGTTTTGGCTTAAGCTACTATTTAAGTCAATAGAAACTCTGAAGTAGAGTTTTTTCGCTCAGGAATTAAATGATTAATCCAGGACAGCCTAGAAAGAGGTCTTTGACTTTAAACTCTCAAAATACTCCGTATTCAAGTTAAATATAGGCAATGTATCTAATGCCTGTGGTTGGAGTACAGGAAACCAGCCGTTCCGCTATTTACAGGAATTATTTGCCGAAGTATCTTCTTACCTCTGGACTAAGACATACATGTATAACAGTGACACAAGGACTAAAATCACAAGACGTAGGGAATTAGGCTCCCACTGACTATACTTTTAACTTGTGAGTAATCCAAGACTAGTCGAGGGTATATAATTCTAATAGAGGCAAGTGGCAAATTTGGTATTATATTGTCTAGGCCATTATGACGTTTTGACTGTTCCCATGGCGAGGCAGAGACCGCGCAGCAGAAACTTCACGGCGCAACGTGACGCCGGTGTGGCTCGCTCGCGTTAAGCGTTTACATAGATATGCTTACAGCCTTTCCTTAGCATATACTGTGCCCGAGGTAACTAAAGCTAGCTCTAAAATTGGCCTGCTCGTAAATAATTGGGCGTTATAGGGCGTGTTTTAGCCATATACTCAACGTTTGGAACGGCGGGTGCCGGGATTGCGACTTAAACTAACTGCTTCTAGGAGCAACTCTCGGTTTATGCTGACTCGCTTGCCGCGACTTTTCAGCCCGATAGATTGCGGCTTTAGCATTGCCGTGAATGATGCACATTCGGTATACATAAATAAGATTGTTAGCGGTGTGAATGAGCAAGAGCCTCTGCATCTCACCTCTTCAACCCAACAACACCATCCCGTAACCCCCTGGAACGACTAGTCCCCTTTGTTTGTTGACACATGCGCAGATTCTGGCAGCAATCTGGCTAGATCCATGGAGTTCCCTCCCTTGGCTTAGCTATAAGACGACTTCCGCAGACGGGGCACCTGGGGAAGTCTGGGATAGAGAATAAATTACCACCCGGCGCATATTTCAAGACGTCAACTAGTCTAGTCTAGGCTATGTGAAATCAATGATAAAATAACAGGAGCTAAAACACGCGCATCCCTTCACCAAATCAGGTCTAGTAGTTGGGACCCTTGGTGGCCCGTGCCGGGCATCTAGTTCTGCATGTGGTCTAGTCGGGTTGGCAATTGGCCAGGCGGCGCGCCGTGCAGCTAGGACCAGACCAGACCCAGGGAAACTTGAAGCACCGAGGCTTCATGTCCGGTCTCCCTTCGCCACCAACTCTACAGCTTGATCTCCCACTCCCACTTGCCAGCTGTGGTGGCTAGTCGCGTAGGCAACCTTGGGCGACCGACATACATTGGCCTCTTGATCAGACGACTTTGTATCGTTCTTCCGCACAAGACATTGCACCCAAGGGACGAATGCACAGATGAAGTGGTATGAGGGATACAAAGAGCTCAACGTGGAACTCAAGGATGCCAAGGCCCTGCGGACAAAACTTCCAAAAGACCCGAACCATTTGCAAGACCCAAAGGATATCAATGGTTCAAAAGATCGAAAAGCTACTTGACGTCTCTTGCTACGCAGCCCGACGAACTCACAGTAAGTCTAGTTCGAAGCATTTTTGTCCATGGAGTTTTGCCAACAGAAGCAAAGTGGAATACACATCTTTTCTGGCCTGGTAGAAGGCCATGGCAGTGTTCAAGTTCAAATAAATTGCGGGCTTGAAGGCTCAGTATCGCGATTTCCAAGATGGGCCGGATTTACTGTGGACGATGCCTTCCAACGCCTTTGCCTTGGGTACGTTTGAGGGATCCGCCAACTGCCAAAAACTACAGCAGCCATTGACCGGCTGAATCAAGATACCAGGTACAGACAGGGACCAATCTGACTTGTTCGGCGTCGGCACTTTCTTGGAGACAAGCGCAGTCAAAGAGTATGTGCTGGCTTGACTGCTAATCTGACTCTGACGAGGGCATCGTGGGCGATGAGATGGGATATTACGTCTCAACCTGACCTTTACCTGTAAGGTTCGCCTATCCCGACCTTTTCACATAATGTGGCGCAAGGGCATAGCTAAGCCCTGGCACGTGCGAAATGAGCGCCCATCACAAACTCATTGATCCGCTTGCACAATGAATAGCATAACGTGCACACGCAAAGAGCTATTAATAACTTTTTCTTTAATATAAGTGCTCGCACTAACCCAAGCACGTGGAGAGAGGAGGTCCTGTAGGGTTGCCGGGACAGGGCGACAGGAGTCCAATGAGTACACATTGAAATATAAACAGTTGGGTGGCGTCGTGATGGTGGATCAATACTGAACTGTTGTTTGGGTGCATTTATCCACTCGCACGTGTCATATGAAACACTCGAGTATACATGGATCAAATAACGGTACAAGCAGAGCAACGCAGGCACGGGCGAGATGAAAACAACATGCTGTATTGTGGGAGCTACGGTAACTGACTGTGCGTGAAGATCACGAGAATGCCGGGACCTCTGTGGGACTAGGCCGCGCGGTGGCGTCACAACAGACGAGTACTTGTAGCCAGTTTCACAAGTATAAAGCGGCGTGTAGCCTCTATCCTGTCTGTATTTTGTTTTGTATTTTATTATTCATTCTTCGCTGCCCAGGTGCAAGCTCATTGTACTGCTGCCTTCTCAGCACTTAGTATCCCTGGTCCAAACACGAAGACTCGACGTGCCTTTTTGGTCGACAAACTGTAACGCTATACATATAGGCTTTACATATTTCCAAAGGCAGCTGACCACTCGCTTACATACACAAATCGAGCCCGAGCTTCCAAATATCGACCCTATTCACCATGGCTGGCCGCAATTCAATTGCATTGCTTGTTTTATTGCTCTTCCAGGTCTATGTGCGTTTACATCCCCCCCCCCATAGATTGGTTCTGTTGCTAACAAGTCTGAATAGCACACGGCATTTGCCCTTAAAGGATCTAGAATTGAGAGAGACCTAGATACGGAAGCCCCCTGGTATAAGCTGGCTTGTGGCCATTCGCCTAGCTTCGAGGGTTATAAGTACGCCAAATATAGCGACGCTGTCCAGGCAGTCAATGAAGCCTACCTATATATGATGACGCAACCCGGACTCGATGTAAAAAAGCACTTTGATCCCGGCTGCTGGGGCGTAT